CTGTTCCAGACCTGTACTGTTCCCTGGTTTGTTCCTCTCCTGGTCTGTTCCTTGGTCTGTTCCTTGGTCTGTTCTTTGGTCTGTTCCAGACCTATGCTGTTCCTTGGTATGTTCCAGATCTGTACTGTTCCCTGGTTTATTCCTCTCCTGGTCTGTTCCTTGATAAGTCTGTTCCAGACCTATACTGTTCCTTGGTATGTTCCAGACCTGTAGTGTTCCGTGGTTTGTTCCTTGGTCTGTTCCAGATGTGCAGTGTTGTTGGTGTGTTCCTTGGTCTGTTCTAGACCTGTACTGTTTGTTCCTTGGTTTGTTCCAGACCTGCAGTGTTCCTTGGTGCGTTCCAGACCTGTTGTGTTCCTTGGTATGCTCCAGACCAGCAGAGTTGTTGTGTTTCTTGGTATGGATGCAGGTGTGTCCTGTGGTTTGTTCTAGACCTGTGGTGATCCTTGGTATGTTCCAGACCTGTAGGGTTCCTTGATATGGATGCAGGAGTGTTCCTTGGTCTGTTCCAGACCTAAAGTGTTCCTTGGTTCGGATGTTCCAGACCTGCAGTGTTGCTGTAGTGTTCCTTGGTATGGATGCGCAGGAGTGTCCCTTGGTCTGTTCCAGACCTGAAGTGTGTTCGTTGCCAACCTTTGGCATGATGTAGACCTGCGGTGCGTTTCTGGAAATGCCTCAACAGACCTATGTTGAGTGTATGCATTTTTTTTAATTTTTTTTTCTGTTGGTATATCAGGAGGGATATCTAGGTTGTATATAAATCGTGTTGCAACGGATTTCCATAGTGAGCCATTTTTCAGTGATTTTTCAATTTCGATTTTTAAATACATATGTATATCATATAATAATATGATATATATCATATAATAATATGTTTTTCTCTCGTGTGGTGGTGGTGGTGGTTTGGCCACTGTGTGCGCAGGGAACAGGCGGAATGAGCATCTACGGTGAAAAATTTGCTGACGAGAGCTTTAAGTGTAAGTTTCGATTATTATATAAACCCAAAAGCTGCTTATTCAAATGTAATCCCCAAAAAATATCATCCCCCTGAAAATATAATTCCGAAGTTAAAGCTAATGATTTTTTAAAAATAAAATGTAATGATATTATCATATTAATAATCCCTGAGAATAATTCCTTGGTCCTATTGCATCAGAGACCTTTCTACTGGAGCAAAGGGCAAAATAATTATGTAATCATTTACATCTCCAAACTACCAAAGTAATTCTCATCCAGTATCTAATCTTTCCTTTAGGGACATCCGGTAAAATTGGAACAATACAGAGAATTAATGAATGGACCAAAATTTTCCTTCCCCCTCCACCCCCCCCCCCAAAAAAAATAAAATAAAATTGGATTTAAAATACAATTTTGTGTTTGTTTGTTTGTTTGTTTGTTTGTTTTTTAAATCTGTATACAAATCTACGTTACCGAACGTACACGTACGGGGCCTTTCCGTACGAAATGTACAGATAATATATGTACGGGAACTTGTACGGTCCCGTACGACCCGTACGAAAAAAGTCATCCAAAAAATCCGAAAAAAATATATTTGATGTAACATTCCAAAACAAGCAACATTTGCCTGAGCACCATCTGCAGATTCTTATTAGAATTGGAGAAGAAAATAAAAACAGTAAAAAAAAAAACAAAAAAACTCGTACGGGCCTTGAGTACGAGTAACGTACAAGAAATGAGTACAACTTGTACTCGTACGGGGGTGAGTACGAGTCGCAACGTAGATACAAATTCTAATCTGCTTTTGGTTTGTGAATTTGAATATGGAAATTGAATTATATAATCTAGTTTAACAACCTATTTTTTTTCCGCAGAAGATTCTCATGCCCGGCCGGTCCTGCCCGGCTGGCCACACGGGCGTGGTGCCCAAGGGTGTACCCGGGCATGCAAAAAAAAAAAAAGATTTTTGTTTTTTTTGGGGGGTTTTCTAGACTCTGTCCCCAGTGGACCCCTAATCCGGGATCATTTATTTTTCTGGGAGTTGGATTTCAAGGGGGGGAGGGGGGTATAAATTGGTTTAGAAGGGGCTGAAGTGGTTTAAAGGTAAAGGGGAGCTGCCTCTGTGTGATTCTGTTATTTGAACTTATTTTCTTATTTAAGGGGCTAAAGGGGTTTAACGGGGGGCTGCCTTTGTGTGATTCTGTTATTTATTTTCTTATTAGTCTCCGATCCTGTGAGGAATTCTAATGTGACCCTCAGCCAAAAGTTGTCTGTATTTCAATTCTACACGATATATTTTTTGTTCCGATTTTTTTTTTTTTTTTTTTCCTGCTGCTGCTGCCTGGAACCTTGCCCGGGGGTCATCCCGGCCGGGCACCCCGGCGTGTGCCCGGGCATAAGTTGGGTGCCCGGGCACCCGGAAAAAAACAGCCTAGCCTATTTTGCTATCTTCATATTCTGAGTCTTCTGACCTATTCTGTTCCTTTGTCTGTTCTTGATCTGAACGGTTTCGCCATATTGGTTATATAATATAAATACCCACCCCACCGACTGTTGGGAATACACACATCAGTGAAGCATACTGGCCCAGGTGTGTTGAGCATGGCCAATGCGGGACCGAACACGAACGGGAGTCAGTTCTTCATCTGCACAGTCGTGGTAAAGTTTCTCAGATTCCTAACCTCCAAAAAAAAATGCGTTTTCTTTTTTTTTCCGACTTTCTTTTTTTTTTTTTTTTTTTTTTTTTT